TATTCATGTCTTTGAAAAACCTCTTCTTGCTCTCCTTGACATCTTTTGCCAGATTTAATTCCAGAGGGGCCTGGGCCTGCCTTGTATTTCTCATTGCACATGCAAAACAAGAACACAGGAACACACAGACCTTTCTTTTTCCCATTGTATATCCAAAGAGTCAATCATTTAGACCACATACAGGAATGTTTTTCTGAACATTGAGCTTTACGTGATCTACACACATAACTTGGGGATCATCTTTTAAAAACAACAAAAATTTGGCATTTCAAACTGCTGCATCAACTAATGTTCTGTTATTAAATACAATACTTCCAGGTAAGTAAAAGCTCAAATCAAGTGATTTACCAGTCTTCAGTTAAACAACTTCAGTATTCTGCAAGGAGCTATTCTATTAGAAAAAAAAATTTCTTTCTTCTGCATTAGCCGTCATTCAGACACAAGACTTTGCCGTCTCAAAAACTTTAAATAAAGTAAAATGGAATAGGAGCATTTGATCTTCCAGTACTGATCAATAGTTCTTAATCAAGATGCCACTCTAATTCATGGTTTGAAACCTGATATGAGATGGAAAGATAAGGTTATTGAGAAATGAACACTAGATGTTGTTATCTGTAATATTGATACATCACATGTAATGCCTAAGAAGCATGAATAATGTGCTAAAAACTATATAATAAAGTCTGCCTATAGTAAGTCCTGCTTTTGGTGTATTGTTTACACTGTAAATAATATAGCTATTACTTATTTTATTTCCAGGGAAGATCTTGAAGATAAAAGGAATGTGGTAATTTATTTGTATATATTTTTAAGGCAGAAGGGAAATACATAGGGAAATGGAAATATGCTGGCAATCATAGCTGTGCTTTGTAGTTCCTCAAAGTTTTTCCAGGGGCTTTTCCCTAAATGCTGATAATKGTCCAGCTTTGTACAGCATTGTCTTGAACTATTGTTAAAATTCAGTGGCTGTTGGGGGCTAAGATGAACTTCCTTTCCATGGAACAGAGAATAATCAGAGACAATGGGATGCCAAGTTCCATGCTACCTCTTTGGAGTATATAAAGCCAGGTCACTTTCAAAAGGCGTTCAAAAGCATTTTCAGCTACATTCAAGTTTTTATTCAACTTTTAAATAGAACCAAATTCCTAACTTATAAAAGAAAATTAATATTTTAATCTATTTCTTTCTGTTTATTTTAGCGTTTCCTCTCTTTTGTTTCTCTTTTTTGGTAACAATAAGAAATTATGTTCTTCACCTAAATYGCAGATCTGAGAATCTAGCATTTTATTTTATTTTACTTTTCCCCCTAAGATTTTCTGTGCAGACACAAACTTCTTAACCTCTATGTCAGTTCTCATACCTGGTAAAAGAACCTCACCTTTATACTTATCTACTTTATAGAGAGTGTCTTCTCTCCTGCCTATGTTYCTTAATTKCTGACAATTTTAATCCATTYATGTTTGCAGAGTATTTGAGGATGRAAAGTGCAAGGGRAAATTAAAGTACATTATTTTATGGCAGAATGCTTTAATTAAAACATCATGGAATGGTTTAAAAAAAAAAACACTCTCCTGTGATCTACATTTAAGGTGCTTGTCTACATTTACATAGCAAGAGACAGGTTCTTCTCCAAGATAAGTCATATGAGGATATTGACTTCAGCTGATGATGTCAGGCCTCAGAGAGGCCTCCCTGTCAAAAAATGGATTAGACAGCYTTGGGAGTTTACCTGCTGCCTTTGCTATCTAGTCCCTAATATTAATTAACTGTGTGTCCTTTTTTGGCCCCACTACCAAACCTTCAAAATGCCAAGAAARGGGGACTGGTAAATGAAAGAGCAAYGAGTGAGTTGGAACTGTCCATCCACCTAATTCACAGGACTCTTCTAATGATGTAAGATAGCAGGATTTTTCAGTCTCACCTGTAATCTTATTGGARAAGGATTTCAAATAAAGTTGAATTAAATCAAGATCATAAGATATCAACTGCGATTTAGAAGACAGCTTTTTCTACCATCCATTCTAGAGTTTTTTCTGTGGCCCCATTCCAGTATTACTATCTTCATCATATTGCCACTTTTCCTGCTGCGGACAACAAACTGCTTCATTTACTCAGCAGAACTTCAATTCCAATCAAGATGCATCCTCTAAGCAGAACAAAGTTTTTTAGCAAACATCCTAGGACTTAACAAAGGTAGACCACCTGTTAATAGTTCCGGTTTATTGTTGAAACATCTTGTTTCTCAAGGAATGCCTTCCCTAAAGGCTTTACCTTTCTTCTCCCTYGTCCATCATTACTTCAAGAATCATGCCCATAATTATGAAATCATGAAGGATTCCAGGCTGTGTGTGTACCCRTTCCAAAGGTATGGAACAAGACATCTAAAGGCAAGAAAATTCATTAACATTGCATTCTTTATTCATGATGACCCTCTAATTTGGAAAACTTTTCCATGGGCAAATGGACCTGAGAAACAGATGAAAGGTTATTTATTTGCTAACATATTCATGCAGATGAGCCTCACACAAGAAGAAAACAGGGACAACCTGTTGGGGCTGGTTTGCAGGTTACCACAGACGCATCAGATTTGAGAACAAACCTCACTGCTGACGACAGCACGTGTTTTGCATGTGGTGGAAATATCCATCTTTTACGCAGAGGGTTTTCAAGCATAGAAAATAATTTCATGGTTTTGCAGAGGCTGCTTCTTTTTAAATAATGCTAACTTATTCATGATACATTTCAGATTAAGCAGTAAACATGTAATTTATACCTCTTCAATTGTTCTAAATTATTACTTTTTTTGGTATAAAAACTAACCTTTTTCTCTCAAMATCTCTCAGATGAGGACCAGTTACATCAAGATTTTTGCTGTGTAATATATTTTTTAACTGACCAGGAATGTCATATCTACAGTTTTGCAGAGAGTGGTCTGTTTTTCAGGGACTGTCCTTTGTACTCKCCTTAAATTTCAGTACAATTTTTCCTATTTCTCTCAATGGGACATTGTAAACYACTCTTTGCCTCCCACAAATAGCCAGAATTTTAACAAAAGCAAGCTTAGATGGCTGAAGAAACAAGGAAGGATSAGAAGACTGTTGTGGAGAGTGGGAACAGCAGACTAGAAACATTGAGAATACCTGTTGCAGAACTGGAGATTTCTAGGATCAATGGCATTTTCACCTCATTCAGGGCAAAATATTGGCCCTTTCTTCATTCAATCATACTTGGGATCCCACAGCTCAACTTACTAATGAAATTCCCTCTCACAGTTACACTAAAAAAAAAAAAAAAAAAAAAAAAAAAAAAAAAAAAAAAAGAACCAAAAATACTGAATATGAATGTGGAAGAAAGGCAATTTGATGTTTGTAATTATCGAGGCAAACTCCAAGACCTGCTGAATGTATGCAAAATGGACCGTGGATGGAGTATATAAAAGTGGAATGTGCAGAGAATAACAGCAAACCATTGAGATTTCTTTCTGGTAAAGCAAGTCATCATACAGGATGCCTACCATGGGCATGAACAGGGCTTCACTGAAAGGTAAGGCTTTTGACATTCACCTGCTGGTAATTTTTATATTTTTTTCTGTTTAGAATGAATTAGGAGCAACTGAAATATAACAGCTCTAAAAACTGAGGTCTTGCAGCCACCTAGATTTCCAGAAAGGRTGAAACCTGAAGAAGGGAGCTTGATTCCTTTTGTTTTCTAAGAGTATGTTTGCATTGGGAGGTGTCACAGAAAATTGTCTGGAGGGATGTGACACCTGCACATGAAAGTCTGAACCTGGAAATTCTTGCTACACCACTCAGAAGGCTATGACTAGAAGTCATTATTCACAAGTCTAGAGGTGATGCAGTAATTTTGAAATCATTGTTTTCGTAATGGTAGTCAACTTTCCAAGCCCACAAGTCTTAGATTTTCATATTCACAGAGCAGTTCCTCGGAGTATTTTCCTAAATGCAATGTGCAGCTTCTCATGGGGGAGAAGGAAGGTTTACTTCAAGATTGTGTTAATCCCCTTTTTTGAATGTAAAATCAGAAAAAAACTTATCACATGATATAATTAGGGATAGTTTTGCTGATTTGTGAAGTACACTTTAATTTAGCATTTTAAATAAGTCTAGTGAACCAATATAGGTAACAGGTCAATTCCCACAAGTCTCAGAACAAGTACATTCATTTACCAAATATTTTCTTTTCATTATTTTCCATTATTTTTCTGGCTGTATTTTATTTCACTGAATAAATTAAACTCTGTTAAGTTAAAAGTTTTAAACAGATGGGGGTTTGTGCTGTAGATAATGAGAAGTTCTCTATATCAGTTTCAGAAGTTCAGAAGAAAAGAAAAACTATCACTGATTTCTTAAATGTAGGAAATTTAGGGTCAATCTCCAAAAAGCAAAGAAGCACAGCCGCTGGAAATCTTTTGAAGGAATTCCCAGGACAATCATAATCTTAACAGTGACCTAAGCAGCCTCCCACAAAAATTAATTTTAACTCCAAACGTTCGCAAATAAGAAAAGATTGAGGGATTGAGAAAATCCCTCAATCTGGGATGAGGAGGAGGAGGGAAAAGGAAAACAAAGAAAAAAAAAAGAAAAAAAAGGCCAATCTATTTTCCAAATAATTATATCTGTGCAAATATAATTATGTATCTCTATTTGCACTGTGAAGAAGGTGGTTTTTTTTTTTTTTTTCTATTTATCATGATGTTATAAAGGCAGACACATAGAGGCTTCTGAATACATTGTACACTACAGCACAGGTTGTCTCCTCAAAATCTGTAACAGGCTCTGCTATACCAATAGGATGGCAGAGAGGAGAAAGGGTGAAAGAATTACAGGATGTCCCTCCTCCACTGCTTTCAGCAGCCAGATCAGCGGGTACTCTGAGCTGTGTGRCAGCACAACCCAAATCACCCAGCACCTGGCTCTGACAGACACTCCTAAATGTACCTGCAAGTCAGTGTGAGCCAAATTTGCTGTGTTTTAACTCAAACAGGTTTGTTGCTGGTGGTACTTCTGGTGTCCAACATGCTTCTGACAAAGGAAGGAGTGACTTCTTTGCCAATCTGCCCCAATGGATCTGTCAATTGCCAACTHTCCCTTGAGGAACTTTTTGACCGAGCAGTTAAACTTTCACACTACATCCACTTCCTCTCTTCGGAAATGTTCAACGAATTCGTAAGTGGTCTTCTCCTGAGAGCAAGAAAATATAAAATTGAGTTTAATACTTTTTAATCACAAACATATGCTAACATGTAATAAGTAAACAAAAATATGATTGCTGCACAGACAGTGATAGTCCCAATGGTGACCAGTCCTGACCATTGTTAAGATTCCCAGCATTTCTATTAAAAGATACCATTTTCCCATCATTCCTTATCTGTGGGACAAGTTTGTATTTGCTGGGTGCCACTTCCACTCTAGAGACTCACCAGAAACTTTTTACCTTTACAGCATAAAAGCAGTGATAAAAGCCATGGAACAAGCATTATCTAACACATTGTTTGAGCTGGAGCTCTTACCTTTCTGTTTCAATAATGCCTGTCTGTGCTGATCTGCAGGATGAACGCTATGCCCAGGGCMGGGGTTTCATTGCGAAAGCTGTCAATGGCTGCCACACCGCCTCCTTAACCACTCCTGAAGATAAGGAGCAGGCTCAGCAGATTCATGTGAGTCCCATTTTCAATGTCATTCAATGCAAGACAGCAGAGGAAGGCAGGGAAGGAGGGTTATGGAACAGCGAGGCAGCAGCCAGAGTGAGAGGGACATCAGCTCAATCAGAATAAAAGAAATGGGAAGAGGAAAGCCCCAGAAAGACAAAGCTGATTTAATATTTGCTGATACTWAGTTGCMAACCATACAGCATATTTAATTGCCAGTGACTTTCATCCTTTTCCTGTATGATATATTTAAGCATTTCATGTTATTTCCAATTAAAATACTACCTCATGGAACAATGCTAGTTACCATGCTTGTACAGTACTAAGAATGCTACAACCCTTAAACATTATCTTAAAATATCTTATAAAYAAWTAATATATTTGCAAACATAAAAATRCATTRYTGTATGAAGACAGAGGTAAATAGTTTTCCAGTGATTCAAAACCCTGATATTACTAAAAAGTTGAATAGATATTCTTGCTGTTACCAGTAGGCAAACRTGGTCACATCATCATCCAAAGACTGTTGTAAAAATCTGCAGAATATCAGTAAAGAGAAACACACTACAGCCATATATAATTTATTAAAATCATAAACTTCAGTGAAGATGATTTTGTTCAGCCTATGCTCACAGACACAATTTGAAAAGTCTCTGGAAAAAACTAAGCTGAGGTGGATAAATAGGGCTGTTCCATAGTGAAATCTCTATCAGTTTCATGGTGCCGTGGCATATTTGCAATCCCACAGTATCACCAGTTTTCAATGTGTCWTTCAGAAATACTGTTAGGAGCAATGGTATTCACAGCCCTGGGTTGTGCCTCTAGCAAAGAAGAAAAGGTTTAACACTACCACTACCTTAACCACAAGCTTTATGGATTCCTGCTGCCATAAGAAAGGACAATTTTCAAAACCAGAAAGTTACTGCTGGAAGCACTGTTGTTCAAAGAGGAGGACAGATGAGTTGTGTAGAAGCAAAAAAGCTATTTAGTGGTTTACCATAACATGCACCTTCCAATCAGTACTAAACTTACAAAAAAAAAACAAAAAACAAAAAAACAAAAACAACCAACATTGGAGTTTAAAACGTTAATCAAAAAACAGAGTTCTGTTGTTTTTTTTTTTCACAAACATGAGACGTAGTTGTGCTTCATAGTTTTTAATATTGAGAGTAATCAATTATATTTTCCACTGCAATACTGCTTGTGCAAATATTGTAGAACATGATGACACCAATGACAAACTTCAATAATGCAATTGCACACAGGCATCTAAGACAGTGCTATAGACCACATTTAGTGATAGGTCCTGGAATAAGTTCTTAAATCACAATGTCTGAGGACAGTGCTCTAAATGTCTTCTAATGTTACCAGAATTCAGCTTTCTTCTTTTAACTGCCTTTCCTTGCTATGGATGAGCAGCATGAAGACCTGCTGAATTTAATCCTGGGGGTTCTGCGCTCCTGGAATGATCCCCTGGTCCATCTGGCTTCTGAAGTACAAAGAATCAAAGAAGCTCCAGAAACCATTCTCTGGAAGGCTGTGGAGATTGAAGAACAAAACAAGCGGCTTCTAGAAGGAATGGAGAAAATAGTTGGGCGGGTAAGTATTGGGTCCTTAACATCCTTCCAGCCTATTGCCTTAAGCAAGACACATATAGTGATAGGCTCYCCCAACCTGGAATATGAAAGAAAACAGCAGATGTGAAGATTAAAAAATGGAGACAAAATTGTTGAGTCTGAGGACTTTACAGCTTTCTTCTTTCAGCTTTCTTTTTTTCTGCTATCTTGCAGTTTCTAAAGAGACAATGTGACGTGATTGTCATRGAATAATCCATCATACTCCCAGTCCTGCTTTAGGGGAAGGTGTAATCATCAGAACTGGCTATGGTCATTCTATCTTTGAGTATCTTCAATTTGCAATCCTGATTCTTTAAGGCTGCATCTCCATTTTTCCATATGCACAAACTTATATATATATGTTTTAGCATATTTATATGGATCTGTGTASATACAGGTATTATGCATAGTTTTTGGAAACAGGTTTTTAAAACAGCTCTGGGAGTCTGAGTTATTGCAAAGATGTGGCATACATCAGTGATCCTGATATTTTTAATTTCTCTTTGCACACCACACTGGTTCCTCTGGACTCTGTGTCSGACTTTGTTCCCCTTACATTTGTAAGCTTAGACAACAAAGCTGTTGTCTGAAGAAACCCATGCTTGAATAGCTCTTGTTATCAGTAATTGATTGAAGGCTTTCTGGATAAAAACAGCTCTAGCTTGTTTATTTTTAAAGGGGCCTCTCTTAGTCACTGCATTTATCACTCTGCCAGTGAGTTAAATGTTGACAAGAGGTTCTGACTTTTTGCTGCTGAGAAGTTGAACAGCGTGAAGAGTGCCACCATCACTGTATCCACGAGATCACTCAGGGTCTCTCTCTCTCTTTCAGTTAGATGTCTCTTGGCTCAGAAACCCTRTACCATCCAGGCTACAAATACATTTATCAGTGTCATCAAATACATCTCTGTCACATATCTGTGTGTAAAAAGGGTGCAGGTGAGGGTCCAAGATAAGAGTAAGAAGTCAGGTACTGCTCCAGTTGCCCTGTCACCACCTTCTCATTCACATTATTTACAGACAGAGATAAGACTGGCACATTYATTAGTGTCCAATTACATTTTTGAGTCACAGCAGGCCTATTTTTTTTGCCTTTTGCTTAAACCAAAGGATAGCAGCTCCACAGATACTCTCYTATGTGTCTTTACAAAGCACAGCTGGTGAGAAATAAGGATGATGCACAAGCACCTACAGGCACCTTTCCTGCCAGGAAAGGTAGATTTTTGTGATGATACAAGTTTTATGACTGTCTTCAAACAAAGAGATCTAAACCAGTCTTCACCTCAGATGCTAACTCCCTACATGAGTTCCTGCATCTTTCTAACATTAGAAGTCATTGTATCACTCGGCTTTTTTTTAATGGAATCTGAAGTCTACTACTTCTGAATATGTATTATTGAGAGATTTGTCTGATAAGGCCTGAGACAAATCAGTTTGGTGCACACAAACAACTTCTAAGAGCAAGTGTTAGCAAAGTTTTGAATGCAGAGGGAACCAAAGAGAGATGACCCTGAGGAGTCCATGTATGAAGGAAGGTTTGATTTCTCTGSAAAGTCAGGTTCCCCTGGTCATTGRTAACACAGTACTTCTCTTAAARCACCACTGAGACAGTTATGCTTTTTACATGTTTTAGGGAAATAAACTCAAAAATCTGACAAATTCATTCAAAATCTGAATGAGGATGTAGAACATTGTACAGAACAGGATGAGCCACAACAGAAAGCACATTGCAAGCCATACACTCACAACTAGCATTCTTCAATGCCAGCATTTTAAATGCTGCCTTCTACATCCAGTCAGGTACACTATAATTTACTGTTAGTATCACTTTGTGTCTCTAGGTTCATTCTGGAGAGGTTGGAAATGACATTTATACTCCATGGGAAGGACTCCCATCCCTGCAGCTTGCTGATGAGGACTCCAGACTCTTTGCCTTTTACAACTTGCTGCACTGCCTCCGCCGAGATTCCCACAAAATCGACAACTATCTCAAGGTCCTGAAGTGCCGCCTAATCCATGATAACAATTGTTGAGTACTCATGGGCTTAAGCACGTACTRAAATTGTCCATTGTGTGAATGATTGATGCTTGATGCTTTGCCACTTTATGACAAGTCACACTGCGCTGTACCTGCATCATCATTAACTTTCAGGCATGTTTGTATGAATTCTGGCAGTAACTATTAGCACCGTATGTGTCGGTGCTTTAAAATATTGCCAACTAATTGTATGACAAGAGCATAATTTTCTGTCTAATCTCCTCCCCTAGTAGTATTTCAATGATAAAAATGTCTTGCAGATACAAATAAAAGTGTTCTTAAATCCAAAAGCACATAACAATGAGTTGTATCAGTGAATGAAAAMCAGCTGATATTGTTTACACATTTARCAGTAGCTAAAGGTTTTAAAGCTTTCAGCATCTCAATCTCCAGTTACTGATGACAGGATATATCGCTTGCATTGGTCTTTACACCCTCTCAGAAAAGAAGGGGAACAAAAGGGAGTTACATAAAAAAAGCAGATTAATTACCTATTACACTAAAATACCCTAAAGAGAAAGTATGGTCTGAAATCCAATCTGCTTAGATCGATTCTTTCACTCTGTACAAAAACTGTCAGAATAGGGGAGGGAAAGGTTAAGAAATCCATCCTGGCTTACATAGCCATTGATTCCCCATGCAATTCATGGAGAGAGAAGACACTTCCAGAATTTTAAAGACAGAGATATATCTGCATCTCTACTGACTATTTAGAGAAAAGGCACTTCCAAGGGAAGGTTCATTATATTTGAGGTAACTGTCTGAGGGCAAAKTAACCGTTTTCAGTAGATCTCAAAGGGAAGTGATGGACATTCATATCATATCCATCTACCTTTCACATTCCTCTCAAGCAGTGTGGTGGTTGCATTCACTCAGAGAACTTTGAAGCCATAAAAAGGCACCAGCTGACTTGAGGTGTCGTTTGTCCTAAACCCAAGTGTGTCTATCCATTCTGGGCTGAGCCACAAAGTTTTTAGGGCACTCAATTCAAAACACTATGGTTACCTACTGAAAATTTGGAAAGACCAAAACAACTGTCTATTTTTGAAAAAATCTGCCTTACACTTACACAGCAAGTCAGAAGACAAATTGCAGCTGAAGCCATTGACCATACCCATATAAGGCTTTTTAAGCCATAAATAAACTTGGCCTTGGCTTTGTCAGTTTAAGCAAAAAGGAGCTTAATTTCCAATCAGCTCCTCATGGAATTGGCTTCTCTCTAGACAAGCATGCTGCATTGCTCTAGGTTGAAGCCAGCTCAGAGAAGTGAAACACCAGAGAAGAGTGCTTTGAGGGCTTAAGCCTTTCATTACCATAACAGAATAAGCGCAGCCATAATGGGTATTTACATAAGAGATTAGATAACACCACCTGCTGGAAAGGTCTCCTTTTAGCTATCTCTGTAAGAGTGCAATGATACTTGCATTTCTAATTGTGGATATATATAATGGCCTTTTAATCTCTTCGTGTTTTCAATTATTGATTGCCTCAGCCTTTATCTGGATGAGTATACACTAAGCCAAATTTTAATCTATAAAAAATCACCTTTACAGKAAGCAAATTCCTTGTAGGACGGTCACAACTGACACATTGAATAAGCTCTGAAATGCACAGAACCTGGGGCATATGCAACAGCAGTGCAATAATGCACAGCTGTACAGCACAGTCAAGGGAGAAAACGGGTAGAATTTGCCATGCAAAATGCAAGTGCCCCCACTAGAATTTAAAATGGTTATAATATTCTACTTTTTGTTATAATGCCAATAAAGAGGAAAAAAGCATTTTAAAGGAAAGGAAAAAAAAAACCAAAAAAAAAGAAGAAATGTCCTTTGTAATTATCATAAGTGCTTAGAATTACAGTGTGAGTTCTTATTGAAAAGAAAACATGAATAATGGGACTAGTCTGTATTGAGCTGGAAAAACGATTATGTTTCACTGAACAAACTCCTACCTTAGAATCTCTTTAGAATTCAAAAGCAACTTGATTAATAGGGCAGACATTCATAATTTTACACTTACATGACTAGATCTAAAACAATGGCTTTCATTAACTGCTTAAAAATTACAGTGCTAAAACAATTGTTAAAAACTTGCATGCTCTGGCTTTATTACAGCCTATTTTCGCACTATTATGAGTTTTTTAATTTCATAAGGAWAGATACAAGAGAATGACAAAAAAAAATCTAAATAACTGAAAAGCTATCTGTTTTGCAGCTGCTTAGCTAAAGTGGTATTAAAAAGTGATCTGGTTAATATTCTGAGTCATCACAGCTGTCACAGAGACAGAGAAACATAGAAGCCCATGAATGAGTTCAGACCTACATTTCCCCTGTGAAGTGCCCTGCCATGGACAAACCCTTCAGTCACTGAATGTTCAAGCCACAGTGCAGGCYAATCGAAAATTTCCTTTTTTAGAGTTGCTAGTAGGAACAATACACACTCATCTTATCAATAGATATTAGGAAGAAATTCTTTACTGTGAGGGTGGTGAGGAGCTGGAACATTTTGCCTGGAGATGTTGTGAATGTCTCATCCCTRGCAGTGTTCAAGGCKAGGCTGGGCTCTAGCAAAACATGTCCCTGACCATAGCAGGGGATTTGGTTCTTTATCTAAAGATTATCTTTAAGACCCCTTCCAAACCGGGATAATTCCATGAGTCTGTGATTCTAATATTTTGTTAATTAGTGTATTTTTGTAAGCCCCGACCAACTATTGTCTTTTTTTCAACAAGAAATTGCATAGTCAAACGCTTATTTTGCATAAAACCAAACATAAAACAAGCATATTCTTTCTAAGTAAAAGAAACTGATGTCAATAAGCATTTTTTTCCAAGTGTATTAACTTATGGCTAAGTCAAAAAATGGCAAGTTTTCTAATTATTTTTTCAATGCCCAAATTGCCCTATATAAAAATCAATATCTTGATTTCTGTTCATTTAAGATTGCTTAGTGACAAGAATGGAAAGTTCCACTTAGCTGAAATACAGGCTCTGTTCTGCTCCCTTTTAAAATTATATCCAAGCTTCCATAGATGGCACCAACTTTAAGATAACACTTTGTGACACCAAATCTAAATGGTATGAAGTTTAAAACAATTTGTCACAGAGAGCAYTTATTACTGAACACAACAGAGCAGCAGAGATACACAAAATAGAAAGCTGACTTGCTATTCATGGCTTGTTTCTAGACTCTAGGATGATGACTGGAGCAAACAGAAATTTTGAGGATGATTTTAAAACAAATAATGGGAGATTTTATTGACAGTATATGTCATTTGGAATCAGCTGCTGAACTAGCAATGCAATAATCTATCATCTTTTTTCCCCCTCTTTTTCATTTGAGATCCTGCAAAATGTTTTAACTATAACTTGGCAACTCATCTGTACAATAGAGTTGACCTTTAAAATATTATTTCAAAGAAAATCCACAATTCTAATAACAAGGGATACACAGTGTAGAAACCACACATATCTTCTAAATTTAATTTCTGAAAAACAGAAATTCTCTGAGGGCTGCATTTTAAACAGAGTCTTCTTATTATAGATGAAATTTATATGAGCAACAAATTATGTCAGAAATGTAAAGTCAGTGATCACACTTCTGTATATATATCCTGGTAGTAAGAAATTAAAGAAACATGGTAGTACAATCAAGCATGGGAATAACATCACAAGTACAGCATTCCCACTGAAACTACTGGGTTTGCTGATCTGTAAAGCTATTAATATATATGACTATTTCTGTCTCAAGCTCTTAATGACTTGGGCCGGCAAATTACTTTGCTAAATCCTGAAGACTGGGGCTGAGCCTGAACTTTCAATTCAATTGAAATTTAAGATTGACTACACATAGGTAATGCTAAAAAAGGTTTAAAAACAACAGTTTTAAAACATGATTATACCTTTTTGAAGTTCTTCATGCTCATATCCATCTTTAGGAATGAAACTAAATTGGACATCAATCTTAGAAAACAGTAGGTGTGTCAGCCATGGCTTTCCAACTTTTTTTCCCCGAACAACTCAATGACTACCAGACAACATTTTAACAATACCTATTATTATTGGGATTTTAAGGCTATATTTAGATATATCTCCTCCTAACTATATGAAAAATTCACATTTTTTCACTTCCTTGCCAGTATTCAACTACAGCAAGTAAATGGAAAGAGACAAGCAGATGTCTAGATGCCTAATGTCCTCTGAGTTATATCTGTTTTCCCATACAGTGAAAGCAGTACAAACCATCCTTATATTTGGGGAAAAAAGTAAGAATTCAGGGACTTCTCCCATTTGACCTTTGAAAGACACAAAAAATGCAAGGCGATTTTGAAGATACAGAGCCCACCTTCCAATCTAYAATTTTAACATGCATTGAGGGAAGTAACAAACCATGTTGCTTACATTGTCACTAATTCTCTTTTATGCCCTCTCAATCACYTACAAATCCAACGCTATCATTCTGGGGTTTGGGAAGACCTGTCTTGGACAGAATCTTTGCTGCAAATTCCTATGTTTTCAATATTCTCAATATTTTCATTTTTAAAAGAAGGATAGCATAGACAGTAGACAAAATKTAAAGAAAAAAATTACGACAAATGTTTCTCTACATTTCTCCCAGTCGGCTACTGGAAAGTGCTTCACCAAGCATAAAAATGAACAGCATTTGGCTACAATATTTCACAATAGCTGTCCCTCAAAAACAGAATTTTCTYATTAGACATCACCACACTAATTACGGGAACACTTTTTCCTTTTTAATAAATGATAAGGTTCATTACACTTAAGAGTTCAGATCACTTATTAATTCACAAGTGGTAGTATGAGTCATCAAAAATGCTAAGAGCACTCACTCTAGCACATCAAAGAAGCTATAAAGCTCATACCATTTGTACCATGTACCACATGTTGCAAAGGAGTTTGCAAATGCTGAACAGATAACATATGTGTCCATTCAATAAGTTGATTCATGCATTAAGTGACTAAGAATATTCCCATTCATTAATGGATTATTTTTCACTATCAAGATTACTACCTCCCTCCAGCTTTCAGTGTCAAATAAGAATACTATATATTTAACAGTATTATCAGAATTGCTAGACCCACAGTCATCAAGCAAGTCACTGTTACTGTACACTAAGGCAGAAGAAAAAAGGAATGCTTCCCAGCAAGGTCCTGCTCTGTTTATTTATAATTCAAACAATTAGGAAAGTGTGGTGCATAASRTTACCTTGTCTCTCTGCTGTTGTTTCCACTCTGTTGCTAAGGTAGAAACAGCTACTGAAATA